TTGGTGGCCGAGAATGAAAAAGGAAATAGCTGAATTTGTGTATGCATGTTTAATCTGTCAGAAATCGAAGATTGAGCATCAGAAGCCGTCTGGAGTTATGCAGCCGATGTTTATTCCAGAATGGAAGTGGGATAGTATTTCTATGGATTTTGTATTCGGGTTGCCGAGGACTCCTAAGAATTGTGAAGCGATATGGGTTGTGGTGGATAGACTGACTAAGTCTGCTCATTTCATACCGGTGCGAATGGATTACTCAATGGAGAGATTGGCACAGTTATATATTGAGGAAATAGTGAGTTTGCATGGAGTTCCTTCTAGTATTGTGTCAGATAGAGATCCGAGGTTCACTTCGAAATTTTGGGAAGGATTGCAGAAGGCTTTGGGTACTAAATTGAGGTTGAGTTCAGCTTATCATCCTCAGACTGATGGACAGACGGAGAGGACGATTCAATCGTTAGAAGATTTATTGCGTGCTTGTGTTTTAGAGAAGGGTGGAGCTTGGGATAGCTATTTGCCATTGATTGAATTTACTTATAACAATAGTTACCATTCGAGTATTGGTATGGCTCCGTTTGAGGCATTGTATGGTAGACGGTGTAGAACGCCTTTGTGTTGGTATGAATCTGGAGAGAGTTCAATAATTGGGCCAGAGATTGTTCAGCAGACTACTGAAAAGATCAAATTGATTCAAGAGAAGATGAGAGCTTCTCAGAGTCGTCAGAAAAGTTATCATGACAAGAGGAGAAAAAATTTAGAATTCAGTGCTGGAGATCATGTGTTTATGAGAGTTACTCCGATGACGGGTATTGGTCGAGCGTTGAAATCTAAGAAGTTGACTCCGCGTTTTATTGGTCCGTTTCAGATTACGGCAAGAGTTGGAGAAGTTGCTTATCGTATTGCTTTACCTCCGAGACTTGCGAATTTGCACGATGTTTTTCATGTTTCTCAGTTGAGGAGATACATTCCAGACCCATCTCATGTAATCCAAATAGATGATGTACAGGTGAGAGATAACCTGACAGTAGAAACATTGCCTATGAGGATAGAAGATCGGGAAGTGAAACAGTTAAGAGGTAAAGAGATAGCATTAGTGAAGGTTGCTTGGGGAGGTCCAGCAGATGGAAATATCACTTGGGAGCTGGAGAGCCAGATGAGAGAGGCTTATCCGGAACTGTTCGTCTAAGGTATGTTTTCGAGGACGAAAACTCTTTTAGTGGGGGAGAGTTGTAACACCCCAGTTTCAATTATTTGATTTATTTAATTGGGAAATTATTTTATTAGAATTAATAAAATAAAAAGAAATTATTTATTTTGGAATATTTGAAGAAAATAAAAGAAATGAGAAATATTGGGTTTTTTAAGTTATTGGGCTTGGATGTTGTTAGTAAAGAGTGGGGGTGCAAAAGGAATAAGGATACATTTGGGACTCAAGTTGTTTTTCTCATTATTCACGTTAACACAGAATTGGGAAATTGGGAAGCAGAGCTCTGAAGGTACGAAGAATATCGCTCAAAGAACTCAAGCTGCAATTTGATAAGGTAAGGGGGGCTACTACTCAATTTATATTTGCTTATGGGTTTAGGTACGGTTGATTTGGGATAATCGTAGGGAGAACCCCAATTGTTAGATGTTCTTAGGGATCAGTACCCTTAGGATTGAACCTTGTTAGAGAAGGTTTAGGTTCCCAATTTTATGAAATCAATTAACGATTTTAGGTTCCTAATGGTGGATTGGGAGTATACCCGTATGATCGTGAATTTACCTTAGAGGTTTTAGGGATAACCTCAATGTTATCAGATTTCCCCAAAAGGACGAATAATCACTTTTAAGGTCACTATGATAATGGTTGGTAATTAGGGAATTGACGTGTTGTTTTGAGTTACACAAAATCGATGTCGTTAGGTACCGAAATGCGCATTTTGGCTGGCATTTTTCGCGTTTGGCTGCTGTACTGAGCTGCTGCAGGTTCAGGAAAAATCTGACCCGCGCTCATCAACACGGGCCGTGTTGTTTAACACGGGCACCCGTGTTGATTCACTGTGTTGCCAAAAAATGTGTTTTCCAGACACATTTCAACACGGGCCGTGTTGATTTACACGGGCACCCGTGTTGATCCCCTGTAATGAGAAAAAATGTGTTTCCTGGGCACATTTCAACACGGACAGTGTTGATTTACACGGGCACCCGTGTTGATGCTGCTGTGTTGAATTTCTGAATTTTGTTTTCTGTGCTTTATTGTGGATTTTATTGTCATGCTTTTAGATAATGTTATCAAGCATGAATTATGATATAACTTGATATGATCGATGTTTAAATAGTATGCTGAGTGATTACATGCTATCCATATCCTGTTATGATTGATGTTGTTGATGTTGCATGATATGTCGATTGATGTTAATAGTATGCTGAGTGTTACATACTTTACATATCATGTTGCATTTGTTAATTCCCATTGTATGGAATTAACATGGTGGCCAATATACGTGTCCGCGATTTAATGGAACGTTGAGGTGGTAGCCGTGTCCGCGATATAATGGAACGGTGAGTTATCCGTGACCCGAGATTTAATGGGGCGGTAAAGTGGTACCACATGCATGGGTGTGTTGCATTACATTGAATATGACATGAATGGATGATTTTTCCAATGTTGTATTTGATTGATTGTATGCACGTATTGATACTAATTTGTTAACGATGTTCGATGTTAATTATAAGCATGAAAAGTAAGATATTATGAATATATGAATTGTAAAGGTTTTTGTAATCTATGAAACATGCTAACTGTTGGGTGATGCTTATGGTTTTCTGAATCGATTGTTATGAACGTATAATCAAATGTGTAATTGAGATGCTCACCCTTACTGTTGAATATTTCAGATTGAGGAGCTTCGTCCAGGTGCTCGGCGAAGGCTTGTGTTTCTAGTTTATTTCCGTTTAAGTATTGTCCGGGTCATGCTCTGGTAGTTGTAACTCCGGGAACGTTTGTTTGTCGAGCTGTTTTAGTCAGACTCGTTTATTTCTTTATGTTTGTTATAATATGATGTTGATATTTTCCAGGTGTTAATCCCTGATGATTTTAAAATATTATAACATTGGTTTTGTTAATTAAATTATTCCGCTGTGTAAACATGTATGAGTTGCTTCTATGTTATGCATGACAGGAACTTGTTTTTAAAAAAAAAGAATTGTGACATCCTCGTTAATACATGTACTCTGTAAATATGATTTTAATTAATTGCGAAATTTTATTTCGGGGTTTTAGAGGGTGTTACAAATGACACGTGGCCAACGACTCTTCGAATATTAGAGTCATCCTGCCCCCGTAAAGAACGGGTCTTCTACCTTCGAAGATCACGGGGCAATTGACCAGGATAGAGACCACGTATTGGTCTCCTCTACCCACGTAGGATCCTTGCAGTCTCTATTTTAGGATGAAAATACAACCCAAAATGGAGACCTTGACCCAGTGCTGGAGGCTATAAATATCCTCTTTCACTAGAGAGTCATGTATTCAACTCTACTCACTTACACTCTGCACTTGCCTTCTTTATTCTGAATCTTACTTTGGCATCGGAGTACCTTGCAAGTACAACCCCCCCCCCCCCCCCCCCCCCTCTCCCCCCCCTCCCTCCTTCTCATTCACTTTAACAACCGTAGAAGTCCAAGTGTTACAGACCATTGAAGTTCCATCTGATTCCGGTAAGATCAACTATTAAATTGTTTTTCTCATTCATAAGATTTTTTCTTAACCATTCTTTGAATATTTTTTATCTTAGATTTATTGACATTTTTATTGATTCCAATGTAGTTTAGGTTTATTGACATTATATTGGTTGCAACTTAATCAGATTGCATAATCAGATTGACCAAGTCTCTTATTTATAATTCTGGCGTTTATTTATAGCTTTGATATTTTTAGACTCAGATTGTTTTACTAACACTTGTGAATTTTATCATTGAAACTCACTTTTTTATAGGTCACTATCACCACAATATTTTTAAAAAAAAAATTAATCAACAAAATATATGTAAATATTTGTAGTTATTAGTGATATTTGTAAATATTTATAGTTAATAGACATGGATTGGATTTATGATGTTAGTGATTTGCTACATATTTATTTTTAAATATTGACAGTCATTAATAATTTTATAATAACAATTATATATCAACAACAATCAAACTTTATCAAATGATTTTATAATAACAATTATATATCAACAGCAACCAAACCTTATCGAATAGCAACCAGACCTTATCGAATGATCTAAAATATGAATGAAATCTTAGCAAACCATATTAGATTTAATTTAATTGCTCTGTGATACTATAATGATAATGTTGTAAAATCCCCTTAAAATGAAATATTTAATTCGTTTAGATATGCCTATCTAAATTCATGGAATGTTACAAAAATTCCGCCAAAGACCCTCAAGAAGACATAAGGATGGATAAAAAACTCCCATAGATTTATATTCATAGACGGATCCAAGGCCCAACCAAGTTGGACACCTATCCAGATTCTGGCCCAAAATTTCTTTGTGGTTGAGATGATTTGTATGACAAATAAAGAAAACAAAAATTGAAGCTAGAGACCAAAATGAAAAAACTCTTAGCTTAGTTCGGGTTTCATAATTTTTTTGGCTTTGCCAATGTTTATATTATATATTTAATTAATATTACAAAACATATTATATTAAAAATAAATAAACTTATATTAAATTATAACAGGTATTTGTATCCAAAAATAAAATTATAAGTCCGACCCCAATCAAACCCAACGTCTGGGTTCAATGACCAGGCTTTTTTCATATTATATCAAGCATTCACAGCCAAAACTAGAAATGAGATGACATAAAGAACTTCTAAATGATGAAATTCATGGTTCATTTAATCTAATTAATAAAAATAATTGTTGTTAAAAAAAGGCTTCTGAAAGGACAATTATAACATCACAAGTTTCAAACATTGCACTATCAAGTTTCAGACAACCATTTTGTTACTCTTCCATAGCATCTCCTTCAATTACTTCAACCTTCTCCTTCAAAGGAGTAATCTTTGTCAAGAGAACCTCTGCAATAGAGGTTAACATAAAATATTAGATTTTATTTTAACAATATATTAAATATTATACATAAAAAATTTCAAAAGGAGTGCACTCCATATTCTGTTTAAGCAACAAAGATGTACACTATGGCATGCATGTATATCATCCATGCTAAACTATAAAAGACTCGTCATTCTTTGCTGGGTAGCTTACTAAAGAAAGGCGTACACAAACAGACCTTCCAATTCTTATAGATTATGTAAGTACCATAAATAGACTGCTCATTCTTTTTCAACTTTCTTCTACTTAACAATAAATGGTTTCCTTTTCCCACCACAACAATTATGTGCCATCATTTTTTCTGCCATCGACGAATGCCCTTCTAGGAAGAAACAAAATGGTTCTTCATATGCAAAAGTGTTCTTATAAAACATGGTTTTTCTCAAGTGGAATTGTAGCATATCAGTATACTAAATGAGATGTGCACAATCTGCTCAATGGTGATGCTGGACTTGTTGAATCGGCAGAGACGTGTCTTGATACTAGACATATTAGAAGCTAGGCAGTTCTTTTAGATAATGAGAATGTGAGAGATGAAAACGATACAGTCAGTATAAGATGATTAATAGCAAAGAGACATGACTTCTATTAAATAGAACAACTAATGGAGAAAAACAAGTACAAAGGCAGCTTAGTAGCAATATGGTCCTACCAACAGCCAAGGTTGGATTACACAAAAATTCCCCCTCTACTTAAACCTTCTACTGTTAGAATCATCCTCATTTCAGATCTATTTCTTGCAGTTGACCTCAAAGCCATTTGGATGTGAATATTCCTAAATGGTGTTTTAGATGGACGAGTGTATATGGGATTAAGGACCACAACGGCTCTTACAGCAAGTAAAGGATAGTCCTGCGCTCGAGGCTCCTAACAAACTCTTCCAAATTAACCAGTATGGTTCTTACTACACTCGGCCACAAATACATCGTGCTTCCCTCTAGCTGAATTCCTAGAACCCAGCTCCACATTATAAACTAACTCACTCTCTATCCCTCTGAGTGGGCCCTGGATATTTTTAAGCCAATGTGTATAGATCAGGAACCTGTCACCTTCCAATACTGACAGATTAAGTCAGTAACATAAATAGACAGTTCACTCTTTTTCCACTTCTACTCAATAATATATCAGTTCCCTTATCACAATAATAATCATGTGATGTATCCTCTCCGCTGACAAGACACATGCCCCAAAATGAAGGACCAAAATGGTTCTTCATATGCAAAAGAGTTATAGTACAACATGGTTTTATTCATTATTTGGAAGAAACATAATATATACTAAATGAGATGCGAACAATTTGCTTGATGATAATGGCAGACTTCTGGAATTGGCAAAGTTGTCTCTTGATACTAGACTAAAAAGCTAAGTATTTTTTGATAATGAGAACTTGGGAGATGAAAATGATACAGTTAGTATTAAATGAAAAATAGCAAGAAGAGATGTGACTTCTTTTAAGTAGGACAAATATGGGAGATAATTAAGTACAAAGCCTGCAAAGTAGCAAAAGGGTTTCACCAACAGACAAGGTTTGATCTCACATAAAATCTCCCCTGTATTTAAACCTAGGAATCATCCTCACTACAGCTCTCTTTCTCATAGTTGACCTCTAAGCCAAATGATGTGAATAACGCTTTACTAAAAGGTGTTTTAGATGGATCGGAGTATAAATGGAGCAGCCTCAATGGTCTAAAGCAGCAAATAAAAGTCCGGTCTGCATAGTTTACAATCCACTTTATGACCTGATACATGCTCTCAATGCTCGTTTTAAAAAGGCTGAAAAGTTCTCTCTACTCACTCAGATTCACATCTAGTAATGTGATCCATCTCTTCTATTTTTATCTACAGCAAGTCTTGTCATATGTCTATTTGGTTTAACTTCTAAAATTGCATACTGGAGCTTTTTCCCCATTACATTTTATCGATACTCTCTAATATTATCTCCTCCTTCAGTACAACACATCACAACCCTCTTCCTTTATTTTGCAAGATTATTCTCTCAAGCCCTTGACTTTTTTATGAATTCTTCTTTGATCCCACAACAGCATGAAACTTATTTTTACTTCTAAAAGCTTCCCCTCTTTTTAGTACCGAAAAAATTTCCTCAACTCTTTGCATATGAAAATTTATTCCATTCTCATTCAAATTATTTTTTCAATTATATTAGTTTTTAAAACTTATAGAGGGATTATTTCAAAAGAAAACATTAATAAGACAATTTTCTTCCAAGAAATTATTTAAAATTATATGTTAACTAGTAAGTTACAACATATTTAATCTAATGTATTCAAAAGTTAGAGGTGTTACATTTATGTATTACGGTGAATAGAGTAATCTGTCATGTTTGGCACGCATGCAGATACTTCATTTTTATTATTTTTAAAAATCTTAAAGTTCTCTTTTTTTCTCCTATTTGTCACTACATAAGCTGCAGAAACTGGAATAGCAAACTTAGATGGTGCAACAATTTTCATAGCACAGCTATTTGAAAACACTACGTACCATAAGGCACATATATAGTGTCGCACTATATTCACTCTAAATATTAACAACTGTCTCTAACATGTTATGGTAGAATCAAGTGTAAAATAAGTAAAGTTTCCAACAAACCAGTCTTTTTGGAGAAGGTAAAGCCTCTTGGATTGACAAAAGTACGGGGATTTGGCTGGAGGTGATTCCTTAGATATTCCTTATGTCCCTGTGCGGCATTAATGAAGAATAAGTACATAAATTAGATTTATAAGCATCCCTTCAAACTTGTAGGATTTGGCACCAAGGAACTAACCTTGGTTATCACACAAACATCGACATTACTTCCACTTCCCAAGTCATTAAAGATACCAGCACATATCGCCTCAACAACTATCTTAACTCCTTCATCCCTCTGCACCAAATAAAATGTTCAAAGCAAATGAAATTTTCTATTGAATTGTAAAATCAAGACATGATTGAAGTTGCAAACACCATCAGCATCAAGTACAATTTACAACAATTACAGTGTATTCCCTCCCGACTAAATTAGAAGTAAAACTAAACTACCTACACACAGATTAAGGATATGTTATGTTAGTAAAGTTTGATTTAATTTTATTAAATTCGTATACAAAAAATAATAAAATGCATTTCTTAAACTACCCTTAATGGTACTTAATGTAGAGGCACCTGACATTTCACTTGTCTTGAATTACGTAAAGGATAATTTTGGAATAATGACATTAAATAGGTCTTGTTAAATTTTTGCTTAAATAGTCCAGCAAAGTGAAGTTTTATTTTATTTATATTCAAGTTCTGAGGGAGTACACATCTATATATAGACACTGGATTGATAATAGTTTCATTTCATCCTATTAAAAATGAATGTAAATGTAGTAAATACAACAAAATTAGACAGAATATTAAAGGGTGTCCTTCCACATACAACATCTACAACAATAATAAAGCTGCCAAGAAGACTACTACCAATCCCCCCTAGTTTTACACACCCATTAATCTGTTTCTTGATGTCTGCAAATTGGATTGGACTGGTTTAGATAGCGGCGGGGGCAGGGGGAATATCTGATACAATCTCTTTGATTTTGTTATTAGAGCATAAAATTAGTTTAATTTTAAAATTAAATATGATCAGGTATGACCCCATTTATTTCAGTTTGTATTGGATTGTTTTCAGTTTTGGCTATGGTCTAAAGTATTTTGCTTAATATTTTTTAGGACAATTTATTTTTATGGCCATAAAAAAAAAAAACATAAAAGCATCCACACATTTAGTATGATAATTGTGGGTAAATGATTATGTAACATGCATCAATAGTATAATTTATTAATAGGCTTGGATCGAACCGGTTTGCATCATAGGAACAAAAAATTGATCCAGATAGAAGTACAATAAACATTTTGGTGTCCAGTTTTGGTTGTTACGGATAACATTGGATTGGATATGAATACCCCTGAATAGGAGTATAATAAACATTTTGAACTGGATGGGATCTCTTTGTTTTTTGTACAGCACTGTTGGAGCAAAATAGTAATTAATAAAGAGCAAAACTGAAGCAGGCATATTTTTTTCCTTAATATGTTTACTTACACTCAAGCTTTCCTTGTATTTAGACTCAAATACAGACATTGCAGCAAGTGAACCAGATCCCATTGTAGCAAATGGAAGGGTGTCAGTTGACCCATGTGGATAGATCTGCAAAACACAAACTCAAATAGTCATGAGAAATCCAGTTATGAATTCCAAATAATAAAATTTTAAATATTAAAGGAAACTTTAAACAATGAACTAACAGTATGTAAATGTGGTCCAGTGATGTCAACCCCGCCAAGAACTAATGCAGCTGAGACATGACCTTGGTAACTGCACATATTTTGAATTGTCAGGATCAATGATCAAATACAAGGAGTAAAATCACTTAAAACAGAAGTTCTGAAACTCAACTTGAAAAGGTGTCTCTTAAGAAGAGTCAGTGCTGTAACAACTCTTGATTCTCTACCAGTATGATAGCGATGCAGTTGCAGCTGTGAGCTAACCATGTCTGCAATCAATAACATCTCATTTTCAATGGTTTTACTATATTAACAAGAAGAAACCGAGGTCAAATACCGAGTCTTCAAAAACAAAACAAAAAAGATGAAACAGAAAGACTAACCATAAGCAAAATTTCATACGGAATGTAATAAAAATGGGCAACAAGAGATGTATGCATTCTTAAAGATACCTGTTACTGCCTCTGTATCGGCAGCAGTGCCTGCTCCACAACAATATATGTTAGGAGCCATATAATGAATTTTCTCACAATTCTTATCAGCAACAATGGGTCCTTCGGTTGCCCTGGTATCTGCTCCAAGAATGATACCATCCTGAGGCAAATTTATTGTGAGAAACATGAAAATTCAAAAACTACACAAATTAAAATAAATGCAGTTACAATAAAGCATGGGGAATGGGTGACAATTCCAGGGAAATTTATGAAGAGTATAGATGTCAAATGGTAAAATTCTGCATTTGTTGACCATTTCATAAAATAAAATAAAAATTACAATCACTCAATAGAGAACTCAATCTTAAATTTAAGAAGCAAAAAGTGTAGCTTTAATCTTATAAAAATAAACACAGCCAAATTGAAAGTTCCAAGCTAGATGACACAAGGTGGGCAAGTAATTAAATACTTCACAGCTAGTAATCGAGTTCAAACTAATTTGAAATATTTTCAACATAATAATACATAAGGTTAGAACCAAACATTTCGTAATATAAGCAAATCCTCCTTGCCACTAATATCCAAATTTGTTTGACTTTCCTTAGAATGCTATGCCAGACAAGAAATTAACAAAGCATATTTCAAGTCACTCTTGAATCTAACCTAAGACTAAATTTCACATTCAATTTTAGGATCCATCAATCCAATGAGGACTGAACTCAACGAGGGAAAACAACATGATAAACCCAAAACATAAATTAAAACCATTATTATTAATACCTGGAAAACTAAACCAACAATAGTGGTTCCAGTCTTCAAATAAGAAGGGGGTTTAAGACCCTTACTTTCCAGCATATCATTTCTTCTGCAGAGATCGAAACTGAACCCACCCTTAGGAGGAAGATCCATGGACTTAGTCATTCCCAAAATTTGAATAGATCCTGGAATCAAAACCGAGACCAAAAAGAAAATAATAACAATCGTTAACAAAATCAAACAAATATTTCAAATGGCAAACTTCAAACTACATTTTCAAATGCTTCACAATCGTTATGCAACACATAAATTAGCATAAAATTGATACAATTTAACACAGAATCACAGAATAGTGAACTCATTAAGCAATACAAAACTACTTAACCAAACGGTGCAATTACTGAGAAGTTAGGAACAATTAAAAATGAAATCGAGAAATTAGGGTTTGAGATCTAACGATTGAAAATGTGGAAACAGGATCGAAAGCGGAAACTGAGGGGGGAGGGTTTTACAGAGGATAGAGTAAGAGAGAGGGCTCACCGGAGGAAGATGAAGATGTGGATGAATCCGAAAAGCTGATTGGAGTATCGAACTTGGTTCAAGGGTTAGTAGTAGTATATGATACTCGGTTGGTTTTCGTATTTCTCAAGAATAGTGTGTAGAAAAAACTTGGAAATATTATGTAATTTTTTATATTCATATTTAAATGAATTTTATGTAATTTTTATTTTAGCATTCTTCTTATATATTGTTTGTGAATGATAACTTTAAAAATATTATTTTGTATCAATAATTCATTATAATTTAGTTAAATAAAATTGTATTAAACATTAAATACAAAATTTCGTATATTGGATATGAATCCCAATTAAATTGTATAAAATCTTACAATAAATAATACATAATTAAGTTAATAAAACATTGTCTTCACATTTATAAATTATTGAAATGTTTGTTTTACACAACATTTATAATTTTGACATTATAAGTCTTCAATCTTTTGATAAATTTTGATCTTGAAATAAGAACTTTAAATTGATCATCACTAAATAGAGGTAATTGCATATACAAATTCTTTGGGCCTGATTAGAAGATCTAATTGGTTGTGATCTAACGCACTGCGGAGTTTTCTAAAGGTAGAATAGTCAATTTTGCTCTTATTTTGATAGCTTTCATGTGTCCAAAATAAAGGTATTTGATGTCTAAAACTAGTAAACTATTTGTATTGCTGCATATATATATATATATATATATATATATATATATATATATATATATATATATATATATATATATATATATATATATATATATATATATATATATATATATATATATATATATATATATATATATATATATATATATATATATATATATATATATATATATATATAAGTCGAGCAGTGGTTAAATGTGAAGTGGAGGTACCTGCAAGACATTCTGATGTCAAATTAAGGTTCATAGTATGGATGAATGAACGAATACTTGACCCTCTCAAGTGAGAGGGTATTTATAGCCTCCAGCGTTGGGCCAAGATCTTTAGTGATGGGCCACGATGAGGCCCAACAACGAAGACTATCGGGGTTTACGGGTGTATAGAGTCCAGCATGTGGCCTCCTCCCTGGTCAACTTCCCCAAGAAAGCATGGAAGTTGGACCAGTTATTCTTGGGGGGGACAGGATGATGACGATATGGACACGTGAGTCATGTTCTCCTAGTGGACACGTGGGGAAATGCCCAACGGTCCTCAGTTTGGGCTGCACGCTTTTGCGCCTTTATAAAGGCGCTGAATTGGACCTCCCCAATGATGGGGCAAGTGTCGGCCCATTCCAGAATAAGAGTCCCCCAAGTTATTGCTCTTAGGTGAAAGGGTGATGACTTGAGATCAATTCAAGTGTCGGGGAAGTGTTTTCCGAGAGAGGGAACTGTTAACTCCTATCGGGGATGGCTCTGTGACTCATGTCGAGGATTCAAAATTTTACGTGTGGTGTGGTCGACCAGCCCAGGGAGAAGTTCATTGGTCGATTTCATTTTCTGCTCATATCAACGCAATGCCCATTAGGGACCTATATTCACGGGAAAGCAAGGAGTTTCCTCGAGTGTGCGTCTCTGATGTGCCTGTATGTAAGGCGTTATAACGATATCAAGCATTTGCATGCCACCAAGAATGGAATGACGCATGTGCGTGGTTTTGCGTGAGACTGTTGTGGGCGGCGTATCTTCTCGCATGCCCCACGTGGCAGCTGTTTGGGTTGCCATCATTATATAGGGCAATCTAAGAGCCCGAGTAATGGTGACTTTTTGCGTGCTACCTTGTGAGGTGGGGACTATCTATAAAAGGGGAATCAGGAGGTTCATTTGTCATTTTCAAGCTCTCTCTTCTTCTCTCTCCTACGTTCGCCCGTGGATCCGTCACTCTAACGCCACCGTAGAGATCTTCAACGATAATCTTCTCCAAGTAAGTGATTTCATCTTGATCGTGTTTTTTCTTAGATTTTTTAGATTAAATACTTGGATTTTACCATGAACGGATGAATCTCTGGATGAAGATTCATGGATTCTGAAATGAATCTCCAAGGATGTTCATCAAAGTTCATGGATGTGGGTGAAGATTCATAGGTTTAAAATTTCGTTCTGACTTGCGTCGGGGTCGTCCCAGAATTTGGACAACTTGCCCGTTCGATGAAATGTCCCTGCGTAGGGCGTCGACCACTTAGGTGTTGGCTGTCGGGGGATTGGGTCGAGGTCCATTCCTCAATGCATTCATCGCCCTTTCACTTGATTTATGGTGGAAGGGTGAATTTGATGATGTCAGATTCACTGTTTTCTGCTGCTTTTCAGGTATGATGGCACACCAAGTCGAGGAAGACATCGTGCCCGATACCAACGAGGGTGACACTATGGTCACGGGTGATCCTTTGGCTTGGGTCGCACCTGAGCCTCATAGTAAAAGGTCATATTTTTCGCAGGACGCTTCTGACGCGTTCAATATCCCCGAGGACCGAGCAGAGGGTGCCCTTGTCAATTGGGTTCTTCAAATCCCTCATCGAAGTCGGAGGATATGCTCGGCATTCCCGGGCAAACGTTTCCCTATGTATGAGTTTATTTTAAAGAATAAGGGATGCGTTTGCCCTTCAACGATTTCCAAGTGGGGGGTCTTCCAATGGTTGCAACTGGTGTAACGCCCGCTAATTTAATTAATTATTTAATTAGATATTTTCGACCTAATTTCGAATTATTTGTTGAAATATTGTTTTACGTCGGTATAAGTTGTGGTGTTGTTATTAGTCAGTTAAATTAAATTGATTAATATTATTATTAAATAATATTAGAAAGTATAGAATATTAGTAGAATGTTAGTTGGACCTATTTTGATGGTTAGAAGTAGTAATAGGTGGGGTGTGTAAATTAAGCCCATTAGGAATAATATTATTACTAAGTTTAGTTATAATAGTAAGAAATTAGGTTAATAGAAAAAATCAAGAAGTCTTAGAGCAGTAAGTGAGACGTTATAGAGAAGAGGAAAATGAAAAGAGGCTTAGCTAGGTTCGAACGGAAAATTGGGTATATGGTTAATACCATGTGGGGATTGGGTTGTATGAGATTGCTACTATGTGTAAAATTGTTGTCTCTGTAAAATTGGTGTTTCGGTGAAAATTGACGTTGCTTCAAATATATATTGTTTTGGTATAAGACCGGTAATCGGAGGAAAAATTATCCGAGGTTCTGTGTTGAAATTATCTAAAAAGTATACGGTGCCGAAGGGCACAGGGTGTGCTGAAGGGCACACAATGAAAGAGTGTGCCGGGGGGAAGGAAAGGGGTGTCGATCGGCACCATGTGAAGGGAAGGATGTGTCGAGGGGCACACACTCTTAAACCTCTAATTTTCTTTTGTTCATTTTGTCTGGTTCCTGTGTCAATTTGGTTACTAATTATTATCACGGAATTAATGAATTATGGATAGCATAGATTAAGTAATCAATATTTACTATGGTCTTAGCAAGTTAATCCACAGTAGAGAATAGTCAAATAACTATAGAATATATATATATATATATATATATATATATATATATATATATATATATATATATATATATATATATATATATATATATATATATATATATATATATATATATATATATATATATATATATATATATATATATATATATATATATATATATATATATATATATATATATATATATATATATATATATATATATATATATATATATATATATATATATATATATATAGATATAGATATATGGCACCTATTTAATTTAGTTATAGGATTGTTATGTAGCAGAGTTAGCAAAATAAATAATAACAAAGATTATTTGTTAGTTACCAAAGTAAACAAATTATAGATTGTCTTATATAGCAGGTAGGATTAATAGATGATAGAGTCAATATGCTCTAGTAGGGACAATTATTAAGTTGCTGTAATGATATTATTGTTAATTGCGAAGTTGCCGGTAGTGATGAATTTGGTTGTGTTGCCTCTAGTTATTGGCAATATCAAGTTGAAGGCTTATGGCCAGTGTTGAATTATGTTGAATCGCTGTTGAATTAATTGTTGTTGATTGTTATTACATTCATATTGTTGTCGCATACATAGCATATCAAGTTGGCCTGGATTGGCAAATATAAAGTTGAAGGCTTATGCCCTTATTGTTGCCTCTATTAATTACAAGATTATTAAGTTGGGAGTTTTATTTTGTTGATACCACATGCATTTGCATTGTAATGAGTCGCATTCCATGTTGCATCTTGAGTTGTTGAAATGATGAATTAGTTGTGATATTATGTTGATGACTCGGTTGTAATGGATGTCGTTAAAAGCTATGAAGCGGTGATTTTGTATGATCTAATTCTAATATATTATTTATCGTACATCTGATTATATTGTTTGATATCTCACCCCTTCTGTTTGAATGTTACCCCTATGTTGGTAACATGCAGGTAATTTAGAGTGAAGGCGGTTTACCTTTAGTAGTTCGAGTCGGTGTCATTGTTCTGATACGTAACACTCGGGGGGATGAATGCTTATTGCCTTATTGTTGTTTTTACTTCCGTTGCTGAATTTTAAAGTACTTTGTTGTTTTTAAGGTTGTTTCAGTTGGACAAAGATGTTATGTCCTTTTTAGTT